TTGCAATAGCAACCAAAAGTACTGTACATATATTATGCATTTATACCACACTTACTGTGCAATGTTGCAGTAACAAGATTCACATGTTAAAAAAAAAAAAAAATCTAAGCAATTCTACCATGAAAAAGGAGTGCAGTGTCTGAGTGGATACAGCTGCCATCTCCTGTCTTACAGGTCACTAGCTTGATCCTGGGGCACTCTCAGTTCACCCAGCTGTAAATGGGTACCCCTAATTTCACTGCTGGGAAAGTGAAGGAGGTCGAAAGCAGTGTTGGTCCTGTTGACTCCTTGAGTACGGAAGGTTCAGTACAGTATACAGTATCTACATTGTCCCTAATGGGCAGTTATGCCTAAGGACCACCCACTAATTTTTTTTCACAGTCAATAAAAAATTAAATTCTAATTCCACCTAAATATCCTGTTTATTAACAAGTATTTTTAATTGGCCAGGTACATAACTTGGAATTGAAAATTAAAAAATTGCCCTAAAGTTGACAGAATCTGCAACCATTGGTCCAGCAGTGAGATGATTATTGTAATAAATAAATAAATAAATATATATATATATATATATATATATATATATATATATATATATATATATATATATATATATATATATATATATATATATATATATATATATATATATATATATATATATATATATATATATATATATATATATATATATATATATATATATATATATATATATAAACAAGAAACAAATTGCTGTTGCAAATAATACCGAGTCAACATCCATGCCAACAGCCTGTGGGGTCCCACAAGGGAGTAAATGACATGGCCATTAGTGTTAATTGTAAACTTCTGTTTAATGATGAAAACAATGCCCTTTTTGTGTCAGGTAAAGATCCAAATGATACAGCTCACAAGTTATCATATGAACTGGAGTCATGCAAACAAAGGTTGAGAGATAACAGATTATCCCAAGATCTTGGAAAGACTGAAGTGATATTATTTGGATTAAAAACAAAACTCAGAAGGGTAAATGAACTCACTGTACTATACTGTATGTGGGAATGAACCCATCTCAACTGTAGCCTCAGTGAAATACTTTGGACATCTCTTGACTCTTGTGTATCTGCTTGTTATGGTAATTTGCCCTAATACAGAAGCTAAAATCCAAGTTAAACATTGTTCAAAACAGGGTGGCGTGGATTTCCAACTTTACGGATACTCTCACTTAAGTCCATTTTGGGGGTTACAGACAAGTGTCCATTGTTACAGAGGTCAAGTAGTGAAGAAGAAACCCACAAAGAAGGCTGGGAGAGGCATTCCGTAAGGTGCCATTTTGCGCTCAGTCACGCTGTTAAATCATTAGGCACAGAGTCATGCTGTTAGATCACTACAGTGTGCATCCCCTGTGCATCATCTCTGAATTCTCTTTCATAAATCACCCTTAATTGTACTGCAAAAGGACAGAAAAGTGCCCACGTGATAGTAAGATTGCAAGACATGCTTGTAAAACTAAAGTAATAGATCTAAAGCATAAAATGAAAGTCATTACCTAAACAGTATGAATTTGGTCTCACTACCTCAACCATACACATGATTGTGAAAGACAGACCTCATATAAGGGAACATGTGAAAGGCTCGGTGCTATTTGTGAGATGGAAAACTTACTTATAGTGTGGATGAGTAAACCAGCACCGGGATTACAGGTAAATGGAATTACTATACATACAATAGTTACAGTCCTTAATTGTACAGGTACTTATCTTTCTTTTCTATGTTTCTATTGCTACTTTTCTAATTAATAAAAAGAAGCATTATATCATGTCGGTATAGTAATTGTATATACAGTACAGTACATTATGTGTACTATGTGTGTTAAGTGATTACCCATGGAAGGGTCACTTCCAGTTTACGGATAATTTGGATTACGAATAGCCTCCAAGAACAAAATCCATCCATAACCCAGAGAGTATGTGTGTGACAAAACCACAAAGAAAAGGGAAACATTAAAAGAATAAATAAATAAATAAATAAACAAAACATATTATATGAATCAGAGGGACAAGCAGCAGCCTCTTTACACATCCCTTCCCTTAGAAACTGAGGTCAATACTGTACACTACTACCTATTAGTTAGCATTACTATCTCTTAGCAGCCACAACTAAACACTGCTAATGTACTATACCAGCTAGGTGTTGCCATCCATCTCTTCCACAAACTGTAAAGGTCTTGTTGAAAGACAAAATTTTAACATACAAATACTGTTATTATACAGTAAGTACAATACATACAAAGATGTGAGTCCAAGTGATGGAAAATATAATGTTGAATGATTGTTAAATACTGTACACAACATGCAGGAGTTACTCATCAAGATACAAACATGCTAAAACACACACACACACACACACATTTTAGCTTCATTAAAGATATCACTTACATTCACACAATAAATTATTCCTTCTTTATATAAAATATAATCATATAAGCCAGATCACAGTCTACATTCACTGCCCAAGAAACTCACCTGTTTACTAGTCATTAATTTCAATTGGATCTCTCTAATTTTGATAGTTTAACATTATTACTACATCAATCTTCTGCTTCTCTTTGCAATTTTCCTCTGTATTGTTATTGTTCATATTAAGTTGTAAATAATGAAGCTAATGTATGGCTGAAACATCACTGAGTAAATAAGTTGCTGTTTATTCATACTGTGGTACTGTTTTATGTATGTATATATACAAACACACAGTCATACACTGTATTTAGCAAAAACTCCATAATTTGTAATATCTCATTAGTCAGCCATTTCCAGAAATTCCTGACACCAAAATCTGCATGAACAGTTAATCGGTAAAATGCACTCATATTAAAAAATAAATAAATACAAAAATAACAATAATAAAAAAAAAATTGGGAGGTCCATTACACTCCAGAACCACATCTACCACTACTTCATGACATTCAAACAAAATTCACCTCATAAAATAATAACCATAAAATTATAATAAAATAAAACAAGCATTTAGCGAGATATCTAATACTGTAGAATAAAAGTTTGCTACTTTCTCAGTATTACAATTTCAACATATGCAAATCTGTTTATATACAAGGACACCTTTTTTTCCAGAAATTCATTATGAGGGAGATGGTCAGTGAATGAGATTTGAAGTTAACCGCAAATAAGAAAAAATAAACGGAGCCAATAATTAGAGAGATGGGTAAAAATAAATGTTAGTATGGATAGAGAGGGAGAGGTATGTCATGCACCTTGAAATGGATGTGTTAGGGAATAAAACAATTGAAGATGAATTTAGGATACATATGAGAAAGAACACATTAAGTTCACTAAAAATGTAATATATGAGATGAGAAGGTGTTATAAAAGAGGCCAATATGGTGATGTACATATTCTACTAGTGAAAAACAAGCTTTATGGATATGACAGATCGATGTTGGAAGTTGGAAAATATTTAAATATTGGAAGTCAGTTATGTGGGGGCAAGAATTAAAAAAAAAAAGGAAATTATCACCTAACAAAAAGCCAACCACGATGAGAGAATGGGAGGCAAAGAAAAAGTGGTGTGTTAGACTGAACAGCAGGGATCAAGCGCTTTTTGCAACACGGTTCATGTGTGTTGAAGGAAGAGAGAAATAAATCAAATGTAAATCATCTGTTGAGTTAAAAAGAATTGCAGCAAAAGAATACATGATGTTGCTCTACATTTTGACCACACAGTGAGGGATATAAGGAAAGGGCATGCAGGAGTTGGGGGAGGGAGATATTACAGTACACAGGTTATATTCTGCTTTAAAATATGATAAAAGCAAAACAATAAAGAATGCAATAGTAGGAGTGAACTTCCAAAACAAAATTCATTGGGAAGTATATTGTGTTGACCATAAGAAGGGGAAGCTCTAAAACAGGATATAAAGAAAGCACCAGGGTGACTGAATAATATATATGTATGAGGATGGTGGTACTATATAAATAAAAGCAAAAACACAAAGAAAATGAACTTTAAAATGACCAATGCTGTGGCACATGTATGGACGCAGCATTAAATAATGTGAAAAAATGTCAACACGTTTTGTCACAGTAAACATTAGTTAAGTATGAGCTCTTGTTCTCGCCAGATAAAAGGTTTAGGGTTATGGGGTCTGCTGACAGTTAACTCCAGGTAAAGACCACTGGAGCAAAAAGTCTCCTATCAGGATTTGTTAAGTCTTGCTCCTCAAACCCAGGTGATGACTGTCAGTCTCACATTAATGACTTCCAAATTGAAGGAACTAATATCTATAGAATGAGAAAAACTATTGATTCCCTGTAGAGCTTTCAGGAAATATCCAAATAAACCACCGGAAAATTAAATCACAAGAACAGTACATACAAGCTTTCTAGGGAAAAGCCCATTTAGGTATGTCATATGCCTTGTACAGTACACATGATCCACTCTTGATTAAATGGGAACATGGTTAAAACAGCATAAAAGACCAAGAAAAGTAATGAGAATAAAAGCACACCCACAGTATGCACCTTCCCCACCATTGTAACTTCCAACATCCTCCTCTTAAGAGCTCGCATCTCAATAAACAGAACAAGGATGGAAGTAGTGTACACATGACTCATATGAGATTCAAATTAACACATTATTTTTTTTCAATATAATCTGAAGCCATCAAAGCATCACATTTTGAAAACCCAAGATACTGAGTAATCTGAAAATAAGATGAATTTGTGTATAAAAGAAAGAGGAGAGGATGAATCACCATCTGCTGCTGCACAATAACTGAGGAAGTACCCAGAAACCTTCAAGGTGGATCAAATTCCAAGAATACTGAAACGTGGGTTGTGTAGAAAATTGTTGTAACTCTAATAACCGGTCCTGAAGAAACACTCAAAAAATTTGTCCTCTTGTCACGACACATCCTGGTACGGTGAAGAATAAAATAATGTCGTTGTCCACGAAACATTAAAAAATCTTAACAATACTGCATGAGTGTAAGACAGTCTCACCTGCTGCAGTCTCGCGCTTCTGCTCAATTTGATCATCCACCAGCACACTTTGACGCTCCTTCAGGTACTTGATCAACTTGTCCAAGTCACCCATGGAGAGGGGACGCATCTCAAGTAAATCATGGAGCAAATTGCGAATATCTCGGGGCACGACTTCACGAATATTCCGTTGACGGGCTTTCTTCACATACTCTCCAAAATTTTGTTCAATTAAACGCAAAGCATCATCAACCGGCATGTTGCGGTGTTCTGTACAAAATGAAAAAATTCATTATGCAAAGAATCAAGACTGTCCATTCATGGAAGGAAACTTTTCCATAACTAAACGAATAAAACAAAGATCTTGTGTTCTGGAAAGTTAAAAATACTATATTAACATGAAACTGGTCCAAACCCAGATACTGTACAACCATTACCTGAAAAATAACAAGGTGTAAAAAATAAGTAAATCAAATTATAATATGGTAGCCATTATAAGACATCTGACACAAAACATATTACAAAATGAACAGCACAGTTACAAAAAGTAAATAAGGGGACAAAACAGAGGAACTACATAGAGATCAAATTATACAAAAATCTAAGACTGGGACAACTGACTGAAGAATTAAACTTACGGTTCTTTACAACACTGTAGTGAGCTTCTCAAGAATAAAATCTTTACAAGTGGTGGTGGTATATATGTATAATATATTTGAGAGAGGGAGAGAGGGGGGAAAAGCTGACACCAACATCTCTACACTTAGATTTTGAGAACAAATACATACAATCCCTGTATTTAATGGCGACACGTTTCTAGGATATGAGGGAGTCTAATGTGAGATACCTACCTACGTATATCTGAAAAGAGGTCTGACATCAGAAGGCACCAACTTGGAAAAGCTTCTCACCCAAGAGGATATAGTATCACTATGTTACACCATTCAAAAGTGAGTTAAAATATCATGGTCATGCTCACTACCAGTCATCACTGAGAGTTTATCAAATGAAAGAAATAAAAACTTTGCCAACTAAATAAAGGTAAAATGTTATATTCTCGAGGAGAAAGAAAAATGCTTAATTATAGCGCTCGGAGAATCATCTACAAAGGAGACATTCCCGGGGTGAGCCATGATGCTGGGCTGAAGAAGTGCTGAAGGACATCTTCATCACATGAATCACTGTAACTGCCTTTATGTCTCTCTTGGCTGATAGCTGTATAAACTCCACGGTGAAAGAACAGCAACAGTGTGGTAAGGTGCCGAGATGCAGGTACAACAATACGAAAATTTTGGCTGATACAATTCACCATCCTTCCAGTAAGTAAATTTTATACCTGGTTATTCTTACTGGTGGTCAGCCTCAATAATCCACCTTTCCAACTGTACTATAAAAATTACCCACAAATAGGGTATAAACCTTTTGACAACTTACCTATCTTTACAGAAGAGATAAATACTGAGACATACTTCTTGATATTCAATATAAGATCAATCCGATTTTTTTAATAATCAATAATGATAATAAACATTGTCATCAGTTCCATACTTGAAGAAAAAACAACTATATATATATATATATATATATATATATATATATATATATATATATATATATATATATATATATATATATATATATATATATATATATATATATATATATATATATATATATATATCACACAGCTTACCTACTATAGTCCACGTTTTCATAAATAGGAGTACAGCTCAGCCTCAGCCACCCTGAGAGCTACTGGGTGGCGCGTCCAAAACCGGGCTACACAATTACATGTCATCTCCATGGATATTATTCCTTGTTATCCTTCATTTAGGATATTATTTTTCATTCTCCTTCATTTATTGATCCTTTCACCTAATGAACGGTTTTTCAGGAAGGCATCCCAATCACTAAATGAGAGAGACTTGTACCGAACTTATCATTATTACCTCATTCCTGTCTTAGGTGTATCCCAGAAGCCTCCCATGTCCACAACTCCCAGACACAGCATACTTACCTTTCCTCTTGGACTTATCCCCTTACCTACTTTTCCTTGACATCATTAATGTGTACAAGCCACTGTACCATAATTATGTAAGGTGAATAATTAAAACAAAATGATCATTCTATGGTAGTTAGAAAGGCTTATACGTACACATATCAAATGGCTACAGACAACAATACTAGGACAATGTAGAGGTTCATCAATGACAAGACACCATGCAACATACTCAATTGGTTGCTCTTGAAGTTCACAGCTCTATGAAGTAGCCTACGTCTGTTCAAGAAAATATTTGCTTTTACAATAACACGTGAAAGAAAAAATTCTGACTCACCTCGACGTGCCAACATCCTGTTATCCTTAACACTACACAGTATTGTATCATTAATTTCACATCACTTAAAATCTTGTTACCTATTAGCCAAAATTAATTCCTAAAATAAAATCTAATAAATATAACTATCAAATGGCCAGTATTCAATCATAAGCAAAGTATTCCAGCCCTATGTGCTTGTTTTAAATGTTCACTAAAATGTCTGGTACCTATAAATTCTACGCACTGAAATGATACTTTTAATTCTTAAAATTAGTGATTGATAAATATTCAATACTAATTTGCAATCAAACATTGCATCTCATTTTCATTCCTTTGGCCTTCCATAGCACAAAGTTCACTGACATACTATAGTAAGATCTTTAATTATTCTCAGTGATGTAACTAAATTGGCCATACCTTGTGGGGTGCTATGAAGGATGTTTAGTGTCAGGGACCGATGGTTCTCATTATCTCCCGTCACAAAGATGGCGTACAGACACCGTCGCTGGCTGAGGTCTGTTAACACTTGTGACGGTGGGATGTCCGGCGGTGGAAACAAGAGGTCGACAATCATATTCAACGACTTTAACTGTGCTTCAATGTTCTCTGCATAATCCCTGTAAAGAAGAGGAAAAAAACTATGATGGAAATTTTATGGATTTTTAAAGATATGTTTATTTATTCACTCCATCAATTTACAGACAAAACTCCCAGAATTATGGAGTATTAAAACCTTACAAATATTATATATAATATTAAATCTAACTAAAATATACCAGTACATAAAACACAGTTCTTCCAACCATTTTTATAGTTATTTTCCAAACATAAAATCTTTCTTCTTCATCAGTTTATCAATTAATGCCACTCTAGTCCCAACTATAATTGTGGTGGAATAAGTACATAAACTAAGCAACAAAATTTACTCTGCTAAAATAACAGAAAATACAATGTGCCCATAAGCCTTTAGAGCTGCATAAGTAGAGGGTACAGTGTTAATTTTGATCACGAGATAAGCAAGTGTATTATTATTTTGTAATGTGTTGACCAATGCATAACAGAGTTGGCCATTAATTAATCAAGATATTTTCCTCCACACAAATAACCTTCCCAAATACAGGCACTTCTCTTCTATAATTCAGTGAGAGATGCTGCATGATGTCTACAAATAATTTACTGTCTTATAATGATCAATTCTCCTGTTAATACCCTCAGAAATAAATCACACTTCCTCAACAACCATGAAATGTGTTACATGACCCTCACACCAATCATATTTCAATACTGTACAGTAATGATAGAGGAGCCTGGAGAATCTTGACATGAGTTAAGGTGAGGCCTAACAGATTATTATTAATAATAACAATAATAATAATAGTGACTTACATTAATACATATTTGGGGCCGGCAACTATCACCCCTCCATCCTCCTGAAGTTGTAAAATTTGTTATATTGAAGTAATTTAGATTTATTGGGGGTTATGAAGATATCCTTTATTTTATTTTGTTCATGCTTGCAGGTCCCTTCTTCCTACAACACAAGGTGATCAGAGCCAAGAGCAACACAGACTCCTTATTTTGTCCCTTCTAGCTGCCTTACTGGATGTGTTCTCCCTCCACTACAAGGCCCTTGGTTTACGCTTAGCTTCACACATAACACCAGCACTATACCCAAGCCTTGATACAGTGTCATAACATCCTCACCTCTGCATTTTGTTTGGGACAACAATTTCCACATCATTGGGCCTGTTAGGATCAAGTGGATCAATTGGTTCCGAGTAACTTGGGTAAGCAGGTACTGGTGCCGGTGGAGGTCGACCGTCTACCTCTGGAGCCTCGGGGTGTTGTTGGTAGGTGTCTTCGTATCGCTGGTAATATCCTCGGTAGTAATCATCAAACATGTCCTCGTAATCAGCTTGACCTCGAGAGTCACGGTCACGCTCACGACTGCCACTTCGAGTCCCACGTCTGAGTACCATGAAAAATAAACATTTTAAGTCACTAAATTTTCAGTGTACAATTACCTTTAATTATGTATAAATTCCAAGACCCCCATCACATATAACATAAAATCTGAAATGCAAACTGTATATGATGCAACATTGTTTCTTACCAATCATGCACTTAAGTCATTCAATACTATCAACTAGCAAAGGTTTTTATTGGGAACTAACTACCAGCCACACTGACTGATTCAACTGATGTTTGTGCAGGATCAGGTTTACTCGAGGAAAAAAAACCTTGATTTAAAAAAAAATGCATATTACAATCTTGTTTTCATTAAGCTAGAAATGTATCTGATGGGACTTGATCACAAAAAGGTGTTGTGCACTTCCCCTTGTGCTTGATTTGTAATACATGAGCCACAGACCCCCATTTATCCTGTCTACTTAAATGCCATGGTGAGAGGGTGTGTGAAATGATCTAAGGATAAGCATTTGACTAGAGTGGTTGCAGCCACCTCCGCAAGTGTAGGAAATGAACATAATACAAAGATGATAATAACTATTGGAAATTTTGTTAATAACTGAACAAATTTAGGGAAAAAAGAAAAGAAAAAAGTATGGTATCAGTAATTACTGGTACTGAAGTTATCAATTGAAAGATCTGACAAGTTACAGTAATTACTTAGCTACCACAGTAAAAGCAAAGGATGGACAACGAACATTATTCACTAATGTTTAAGTTTCTGCTTCATTATGAAAAAAAAAAGTCTTACCCATAATACTCGGTGTAATAGTCCTCTTCTCCCCTACCTTGTAGGGGAGACTTTTCTCTGCTGTTGCCAAGACGCCGCCTTGCACCAGGAGGTGGACCCATGCCCATTCCACCTCCAAATTTGGCTGGTTTTACATCTGTGGAGGATAAGTTAGGTTAAGTTATTTACCACAAACACTTTCAACATGCAGAAAGTTCTAAAAGTTGCTAGTCTTGGGCATACATGTTCTGAGGAGAAACTTCAAACAGGCAAATAAAAAACAAGATAATTAAGATGGTTGGAAAGTGTGAGAATGGCAATTTAAGGAGAAGAGGTTGTCACTTACAGGAAAATCACACACACACACACACCCCCAGGGTCAGAGAGCAGTGTAAATTAGGCATAATAAAAATAGCCCGGGAAGACAAGATTTACCAACCCAAAACATGATCCAGCTAATCGATTTTAAAGCAGGTCCCTTATTAATCCTATGAAGGGTTTGAGGAACACAGCACAAAGGATCTAGCCCACAGTTTCACCATGACTGGGAATCAAAACAAAGACCTCACACTTGCCAGACAGAACACTGCCAACTACACCATACATAACTTTTCTATTTAATTAATCACCATCACAACTGAAAAAAAATATTTATACTGTATTGACTTTAAACTTTCAATCTTATTAACTCAAAAATTCTTCATTTACAGATGGTAATGCAGCAAAAACTTTTAACCACCATTTCTATATTTTTTCCTTTTAGCAAATAATTTCCTATTGGTATAATACTATATTTCTACTTCACTGTTTTACACATTTACAAACACATATTATATCTACAGCAGCAGCATAGTGAATGGCCTTACCTACTCTATGTCCTTTTATATAAGCAGTGCTACCAGTAGAAAGGCAGGCTGTAGCTTCATCCTCATCTGCAAACTGCACAAACCCAAATTTGTTTCTTGTGATTGACACTCCTGTGAGAAGAAGAAAAATTGAAGTCAGGAGTAAAGTCTTTGCTGATAAAACTTTGTGAGATAGACTCCTCAAATGTTTACTATCTACCTACTCTACACACAGCAGCTATCATTTAACATGTGTATGAGAGGCATAAGTCATATCTCTCAGTCATATACTTATAAACATTATGTACAAAAGTGTTACATACAGTACAGGTATTGCTGTAAGTGAGGGCTTATGGTAGGCAGACATGTATATGTTGCCTCACTCAGGCACACCGACACAACTCCATGACCAGCTAGTCTGATACATACATACTGTACACACACATACAGTATCTATACATGTTTTGAGTGACTGGGTGCCCACACATACTGTATGTAAGGCTTTCTCTCACAAGTGAATGCATGTGTGTACAGTTGTTGGGTTATGGAGCTGTGTTTGTGTGGCCTTCCTCAGTGGGTGATAAATACATCTCTGCCAAGTCCTATCATAAGCAAGCACACAGCTACATAGTATAAACATTTCTATGCATTCTTAACTAATTTCCATTATACAGTAAATAATATAGCAATTAGAAGAACTGAAATGTGTTCAACTCTAATTCTTTGATACAGCCAGAGGAGAAGTTTCCAAGGATAAAAAGCATTGCAGATATGTTGAGTAGTGCAGACACAAGAGGAGAGGTTTACAGAATAGTCAGGCAAATAGTGGGTAGAACCAAGAATGTTGTTGGTGAGCAGTGTGAGAGAAATAAATGACCGTGGTAATGTGGTTGTTGTAGACAAGGAAGTCAAAGATGCCTGGAGAAAATATTATGATTCATTACTGAATGGGAGGCAGCCTAGGGGTTGAAGAACCAGTACAGGGACAATACCCAAATATTGACTGGGTGGAGAAAACAATTGACAAAATGAAGAATGGAATGGTGGTTGGAAGCTCAGAGATAGTTGCAGAAACCATCAGGTGATGTAGGCGTGTCAAGAGTGACTGAAATGACTAATGTAATCATGATAGAATGTACTGTTCCAGATGAGGAAGTGTGTGATCATGAATACTTACAAGGTTAAAGGTGATGCACTTGAGCATAGGAACTACAGGGGCCTGAAGATGCTAGATCAGGTTATGAAAGGTGTAGAAACAGTAATTGAGAAACTAATAAGGAAGTGAGTACTGTATACATTAAGTAAAACAAATATATGACCATTATATAACGTTATGGTTTCTATGATAACCTATGATCAGACCTAAACAAAATCAAAGCACTAAAATCTTACCAACAACTTTGCCGTACTTGGAGAAATATTCTTCTAGCATCTCTCGAGTCATGGAAACATTGATACTTCCGACAAAGATTCTCGCATTAACAGTCTTTGGGTCAGATGTAACATCAGACACACCTCTTCGACCTGGAGAGTTGTTGCGTCCCCTGTGTTAAAGAACGTCAATATAAGACAGCCACTCAAAAAAGGTTTAGTCCACTTTATTGCATGCACATACACTTATGGATGTGAAATAATCTACAGCAATTACTTTGTGGGTAAACAGTACTGTACAAATGATACAATACACATACACTTGTCGAAACATAAGACAAAGATGCATAGAAAATAAATCAAATCTGTAAGAACTTAAGTCACCTACACTAGTTGTTGCAATACTTATGTGAAGTGCAATAAAACATCAAAAACAGCAGTAAATAATACAGTATTAACAAAATAATCTCGACCAACAGCACTCACAAAAACTAATAGTGGTTTATTCTCAATTAATAAATAGATAAAGTGCTTTTACATTACAGTACAGTAGTGTAGTAATACATTTCCTACACTAAAACAATAACTACACCAGACTCACCTGCTTCTACTCCTGCTGCGACTCCGACTACGAGTGCGGCGGCGACCACGATCTCTGCCCCGCGACATTGTAAAGATAGAATCCAACTCAAACCTGAAAGAATTTTCAATGAATAAAATGAAACAATAAAATAAATATTATAAAGATAAATTGTTACTACATATTGTATAAAACATAATTTTTCAGTCTTTGGAAGTGTGTCCCAAGGGCATGACTGCCCATTAGAGAGACTCAGGATACAGCACACTGTATACTAAGCCTTCAAGTACACAAGGAGGCAGCATGGTTGGTACTGCTCCCGAATGCCTTCACTTCCCCAAGTTGTAAATTTAGGTACCCATTTATAGCTGGGTGAACTGGGAGTGTCAGGGAATCGAACCACATACCCCTGAAACAAGAGGTGAGTGCTGTATCCACTCAACAGCCAATCTGCAGGAGGACCTGGATGGGATCGGGGGTTGGAGTGAGAAGTGGATGCTGAACTTTCACCCAGAAAAAAGTAAACACATGAGGATAGGAAGAACAAAAGTTGCTGACCATGGATATCATATGTACACCACGATCAAGAAGACCACTGTAGAGAAGGATATAGGGGCAGTCAACAACTGGAATGGGTTACCTGAGTGGGTAGTGAACGTGTAGACGGAGGAAAAGTTTGAAGCAAAATTAGATAAATACTGGAAAAATCAAGAACAAGTATATAATTATAGGGCACAAATATCCGCCACACACAGCCACCGTCTGAGTAGAGAAGAGGTTATTGAGCTGGAGTCACAGGCGTGAGCCTCTTCCAGATCATTTGTGAGTATCTGTGAGGAAAAGTCAAAACTTGCTCCACGATCAATCGCTTAAAATTGTCAGCTTATTTCAAAGCCTTACTGCCACTTAGAATATCATATGTATTCCCATCAACATGTAAGGTAAAAGTACTGTACGTATATTATATAAGTACTACAGTACTGTGATGGTGTTAAAGTTTAGTGTAGCCTTGGCTTTGACTTTTTAATGACTGGCTGAGGCTTTAACTTTGTGACTTTCCTTTCAGTACAGATTCTAATGGAGCTCTGGTACTGTATTATACTTGCATTGTTATACTACATTATGTGCTGTGATAACATTGTTGGGTTAATAAAAAAGTAATTCAGTATTTTATCTCATACTGTTATATCTGTAACCACACATGGAACACTGCCAATTAAACAAACACCATCAACACCTCATGCTCATCAACACGTCCTGCACGACGAACCTAAGGAAATAATTTGGTACTACAGAGGGGTATTTTAATTTCGGTCATACAAGGGGAATCTTAGGAATTTAACCCCCACCAGAAAGGGGGATCTGGGGGACGAAACCCCCCACAGTTAGGCGAGATATAGTTCCTGGGTTCTGTCGCTAGGTTACGTTGGTTGGGTTAGGTTGGATATCTAAATACAGGGATGACCGAAACTAAAATTTTACCATTCTTCTTCACACAGAGGGTGGTTGATCTATGGAACAATCTACCAGCTCATGATGTGGAATCAAAAACAATAATGGGCTTCAAAATAGCCCTTGATAAGACTATCAAGAACAATGGAGGGATCAAATACTATAGGCTAAATTTGAAAGACAATTGTGGATGCAGTGCAGTGTACTTCCAAGTCTTCAGTAATGAATAACACCTCAACATCAGCACAAAACGAATAATAAATACACATATACAGTGCCGGATTTAGACCTGTGGAGGCCCATGGGCAGCCTCTTTGTGGAGGCCCCCCTCATTATAACTACCCAAGAGGATGGGGTGGCGAGTGAAGCGAGCCTAAACATCTGGGAGTTCCTGGGGGCGCTGTAAGCCCCCCTCCCCCCAGGAAAATTTTGAAATTTGAACACTTCTTTGGAGAATTTTGAAGCCATATGCAGTTTTATTGAAGAAATTAGAACATTGAGAAATTTTTAATTAACTGTATATTTATTGATAGTGTACAAATTCCCAACACACACAAAAGTGAGACATGACTGGAGTCATTCATGTGGTTTCAAGTCGACCTCCCCTGATATAGCTACTACCGCACATGTCAAAAATTTTCAAGAGACTTCACAGAAAAGAATATATTATTAGTTATTACAGAGAGATGATTCTTTGCATTATTAATCAGATAAACCTCTACTCAAATAATGGTTCTGTCCAAGAATGCATGTATAGGCTTCTTTAAGTCCAAGGTCAGATAGATTCACAATAAGTATTAACTCAACTATAAAGAAAATTGAAGTTTTTTTTAATCTCAATTTCGTTATTCCATGTAGTTCATTTTTAATCAATATATGTTTGTGGAATTCTAAATATATTATTAGCAACACAAACAATAGCATTCATTAAAAATATACGGTTCACAGGAAAACCAGGTATTCATTAATTTTAAGGAGTACCTAGCCTAATTTCTATCATGCTTCTTGCTGAACATAGTTTTACGTGGTGGAATAGATAAACATGAATTTTAAAGAATGAAAATAAAAATAATCCAAATGAATAAAAAAAATAAATAAAATATTGTAGTATGTGGAGGCCCCTGGGCAGCTGCCCTGGACATATAAATATAATAATCTGATTTTTTTTGGTAATTGTATAGGACCAACCCGCGGGCGAAGTTGATTAAAACCAATTATAAAAAAGCCGGATTTTCATTGTTATATTATAGTGGACACTGTTGTAGGTTGTGGAAATATGTTAAAAAACGGATATTTTTAAAATAAACGCTACTTAATATTTGTGGATATGAAGAGCAGACCTAACCAACCAAACCTACCTACCTAAACTTAACTAACTTCCCCGGTATATTAAACAGAAAGAACTTACTATGATATGGTGAAATTTGGGGCATTTTCTGGACCTAAGATGATACTGCATCCCTGGCGGGTTAGTCCTACATATTAACCACGTTTTTTACCACAATGTGCAAATAGGTTTGGTTGGGTAAATTTCTGCCTGACACAATCTAACAAAGTCTACCTTCGTAATATAATAGACAAAAACTAAAAATTAAATGGATTACACCTTTATCAGGGTGTAAACACAAGCCACGTGTCTACATAAATGACGAATAAATAAAAAGACCAAGAGTGAGCCAGCGGACATGACCAACCCACCACCACCTCCTGCACCAGTCCACTAAACCTTCCCTTATTTCTCATCCTCCTTCACAAGTTACACATAAAAAACTTTCCCCAGGTTATACGTACCAACTAAAACCACACGATAAACCTCCCTGTTGTAGAATTGCGACGGAAACGACAAACCCCAAGCCGTAGAGCGTTAGTTAAGGGTTGGGGAGGTGAACGACGGGGTGCGCAGGACTCGACCACTCTCCTACTACACTACTCTACCACACAAACCGAACATTTCTACCTTAACTTAGATTATGTTTATGTCTTCTGATAACAAATGGTGAATGATTAATTCAATAACCGATAAATTAACAATTAGTTTTCTGACATTTTTTAACATTGTCTTCACTGTGGGACGCCGCCATCACTTACATTAAATGGAGTAATATGATGAGAACAATTTTATTATTTGAACTTTACCTGAAATTAAAGATTTTATATAGCATATAGTTAGTACATTCAAATATGAAGGTAAATAAAACAGTAGGATTCACAGAGCTTAGGGGAAACGATCATAAAGACTAACGTATGAAGTTATTATTTACAAGAAAAAATAAACCCTTTTTAAGTCATTTTATCGACCATATCTTTTAAATTTAGTTAAATATGAACTTGGGATGAATCATTATATTACATTTGCCGGGATTTGATAATGTTGTTTGAGTTTTCTGCTCTTATCGACGACGAACATTAGAATAAACAATGAGGGGCAAAGTTAAAGAGACAAGGAATATATAGGAAGGAAGTTTTAGTCATCATAGTTAAAGAGACAAGGAATATATAGGAAGGAAGTTTTACTCATGCATAGTTAAAGAGACAAGGAATATATAGGAAGGAAGTTTTAGTCATCATAGTTAAAGACAAGGAATATATAGGAAGGAAGTTTTAGTCATCATAGTTAAAGAGACAAGGAATATATAGGAAGGAAGTTTTAGTCATCATAGTTAAAGAGACAAGGAATATATAGGAAGGAAGTTTTAGTCATCATAGTTAAAGAGACAAGGAATATATAGGAAGGAAGTCATCATATAGGAAGGAAGTTTTAGTCATCATAGTTAAAGAGACAAGGATATATAGGAAGGAAGTTTTAGTCATCATAGTTAAAGAGACAAGGAATATATAGGAAGGAAGTTTTAGTCATCATAGTTAAAGAGACAAGGAATATATAGGAAGGAAGTTTTAGTCATCATAGTTAAAGAGACAAGGAATATATAGGAAGGAACTTTTAGTCATCATAGTTAAAGACAAGGAATATATAGGAAGGAAGTTTTAGTCATCATAGTTAAAGAGACAAGGAATATATAGGAAGGAACTTTTAGTCATCATAGTTAAAGAGACAAGGAATATATAGGAAGGAAGTTTTAGTCATCATAGTTAAAGAGACAAGGAGTATATAGGAAGGAAGTTTTAGTCATCATAGTTAAAGAGACAAGGAATATATAGGAAGGAACTTTTAGTCATCATAGTTAAAGAGACAAGGAATATATAGGAAGGAACTTTTAGTCATCATAGTTAAAGAGACAAGGAATATATAGGAAGGAAGTTTTAGTCATCATAGTTAAAGAGACAAGGAATATATAGGAAGGAAGTTTTAGTCATCATAGTTAAAGAGACAAGGAATATATAGGAAGGAACTTTTAGTCATCATAGTTAAAGAGACAAGGAGTAAATAGGAAGGAACTTTTAGTCATACATATCGGTGTAGTATGTGGTACTAAATGTAGATGGGGCTGATCTGACCATCTGGTGTACCTCTAACTCTGCTACATGAAGGAGTTATGATAAAGAACCCAGATCTCATCAAACAGTTCTCTCAAATCAATTCCACTTTACCTTATATGTATGGATGGATCAAAACACAAGCTTAATAAGCCATTTCGCCCAATCATGAGTTCTATGGGTTCTGTTGAGCAAATTATCCAAGTGGTTAGTAAGGATGCTATCCCCTCTTACAGGCCTGATATGGAGTTTTTTAAGCTAGATTGTGACCCAACATAGAAACAGGAACCCACTGTAATTTTGGAACATGCTTAATGATCTTGTCTCTAGTATTAACTGCAAAATTGAAGGAGAAATATATGGATCCCTTCCATTTCTTGATATGCTTATCATAAGAAATGGTCACAACTATAAATTTAAGGTGTACAGAAAGCCTACACAAGTAAACAGTTTCATACATTTTTTATCGAATCACCTTGAGTACCAAAATGTCAGTTTCCTCTACCATATTTTTGAGATGTTTACGTATTTGTGACCCTGAATCTATTGAAGAAGAACTGCAACACACTCAGTCCATTGCACAAAAACTTGGGTACCCTTCATTGTTTGTTGATTGTTGTTTTAAAGGGGTTAAAAAATTCTTTTATACTACTCAAACTAGACATGTTCCTACATTTAAGAATATTTTGACTCTACCTTATCACAATGAATTTGTCCCATTAGTTCGGTCCCTTAAATAATTATTAAACAATAGTGTTGTTTTTAAGTATGACTCAACTATTACTAATAGATTAATTAAGAATAACCCAACCTTGAATGTAAATGGAAGTGTTTACTGCATCCCATGTAGCAATTGTAATGGAAATTATGTAGGACAGACTGGGAAAGCATTACAACTCAGAATTAAACAGCACAAGTACAATAATAGAACAGCATCTGAAAGCAGTGCACTGTTCGTTCATATATGGAACAATAATCATCCCATGGATTTGGAAAACAGTTTATAAGTGTATAAATCATCATGTGTCACAGAAAGACTTCTGGTTGAATCAAGTTTGCTTAGAGAAATTAATTCTATAAACCTTAGTAATGGTCAGTACAAAACTGATATGTTACACAAATTTATTTGTCAGTGGCCCAAGGTTAACAATGCTTAGAAAGCATTTGAGGTAGATGTAGGATAGATGATTAGTGGGTCTCATATTTTTTACCCAACTTAATATGACTATTTACATCGCCCATTCTTATAAGCTCTTCTTATATTTGTGGTGGTGGTCGTGTGTGGATTAGTGGATGTCATATTTTTGACCTGACCTCATGTTTGTAAGGTCATCCTGTTTACATAAGCCTCTCTCAGTCCTTGTAATTCAGTTGCCGCTGAAGATGTCTTGAATAAAGACGAAAGCTGAGGTGCTCCATTGTTTCCCTTTTTCCTGTACTGTATGATTTTATCAAGAATTATTTTATCCACGTTTCTATTGTGGATACATACATACATACATACATACATGCATATATATATATATATATATATATATATATATATATATATATATATATATATATATATACATACATACATACATACATACATGCATATATATATATATATATATATATATATATATATATATATATATTAAAGGAAATTACAAATGAAAATTTTGTCAGTACCGGTACACAGAGCGATCACTAACGTCGGGACTCGAAACTACATAAGGTGAAAAATATTTTATACAGGTTGTCGTAAGTCGAGGAGAGACTGTATATAATGATAATTATCACACATTTTTAACAGGTGCTTGGAATGCCTGCACACAGTAAATTTGGTGTATCTGAAAGATAAACTCGTATTATTTCACTTGTTGCCACTAAACGAATCATGGGAATTTTATAGTTGCAATCAGTAATTTTGACAATTCCAAGACAATTTTCTTCAATGGCATTTCTGGCGCAAATTACATATAAACGAGACATTTAACATTTTATTATGTATGAAAATTTACCTTTCACTCGTTGCCACTAAACAATTCTCGTGAATTTTATAGTTGTGATAAAAAAGACTTTGTCAAGACTTTATACCATGGAACACAACAGAATTTGAAAACTGCATAATGGAGGTTGATGACATTCTACCCTTGCTTGGCTATTATGTATGCTTAGGAGGTTAAGAGGGGTCTGTTTCTGCCACACACTGATTAACATAGCGAGGGTTTTAGCTTATTTATTAAATGCACATTATTCTATCATCTATAATAAATATTAATTCTGTCACTTACAAGCAAAGATGTACCGTAGTTATAGATGGATGAACCAAACAAATTCTTTTGTGGGTAGGAAAGGTGATCTTTGACTAACTCATGGAGAAATGACCCAGCCTCACCAGTAGAGAACATTTCAAAGTCCTACATATAATACCCGGTACTCACTCTGTGAAAACAGGTTGGTGACAGCAAGGGCATCCAGCTATTAAACTTCCTTCAGATCTACCTGATGGTAACCAGGACACCATGCTATCAGATAATTACAGTTAATTCACAAAAGATTAAACTTTTATCTAAATAAATTAACATTAATACACAAGGTCAAGAATGAACAGACATAAAAGTTTAAAAATATATTATTTAAAACATAGCAGTCACTCAGATTATTAAATGAACACAAATGCTCTGATAGAACAGTGCAGAATGACAATGTTATGTTAGTAAATTTAGCTAACCTTCATGTACTGTACTACTAACATCAAACATGCAAATACTGTACTAGCTAAACTATGAAGTAATCATTGTATTATGGTTCCTAGCATGAAATATAATGAAACTGCTTTTAGAATTACTATCCCTCTAAAACCCCAAGATAATCTGTTGTCCCCAGATATTGATCTCCTATAATGATGAGAGGAACTAAAAAAATATTAATATTTAATCACCATCTGAACCCTCATTATTTAATCTAGCAATAATTTCCATGGCTGGGTTAAACATTCCAGCTGTGTTTTCACTACACACATAACAACGTTTGGACTTCTTGAAATGTTCCAGGGCGCACTTTTCACAAAAATAATGTCTACACTTGGTAACAACTGGATCTGTGAAAGACTGTCTGCAGATGAAACACTTGAAAGGGAGATGTTCTTCATCACTTGGGATTTCCCAATTTTCATCTGAGTCACAGTCTGCTCCTCTCTGCTTACTAGACTCTACCTCCAGTTGCCAGCCCAACTTGTAGTCTGTCCTGTCGTGTAAAAATTTACAGCTATCTGTAAAACAAGACATACAGTACTGTTAAGTTACTTGTACTATACAGTACTCTGGTTATCATAAATGTAGTTTCTTATTCTACAAGGAGTACATCAAATGTAAACAGCATCACAAAACAATCATAAGCATATAAATACTGTAATGCCAAGATGAGTACTATTCATATTATCATAATGCTTGATATCAGGGGATGTGAGCCTCCAGTTAATTAAACAACATTGCTACTCTAACACCATCATAATACACTGGAAAATATTCTCAGTGCACTGTGTATGTTTTTCTCAAATTCAAATATGAGCAATACTGTACGTATTTACAAAATCTCTCTGACATGCAATGCAGAGATGAGAAAATAGAGTCCTCCTCAACATGTCAGAGTCTAATCATCTCCACAGTTTGGGTGGTCATGCAACTACAGTATATCACCAATTATTGAAACTGTTCTATATTTTCTATATACTGTATGTCCATATGATAAATCTAAGTTATAAATATAACAGAATAAGTGACCTTAAGTCAAGATAAAAAATATACACAAGCTACAACCTGAACTATTGAATTGTAGATGATATACAGAACAGTATGAAGATTACAATTTAACAAGACGAAGGCCCTTGCCACAGTGGAAATCGCACCTCTAGCTTAGCAGGGAATATCTTTTTTCTTTTTTTTATGCAGTGACAGCTTCTGAGTCAGCACTAAGGAATCTTACTCTGCCTTAAACTGTATAATAATTATCTCTGGTTAACAGTTACCCTATGGTTTTTCTTCTCTAGGAAACAATTATCACTTTAGTAGATGTTTTCTTGGCAATTTTCTTGATTTTTTGTAGTTGTTAATTAGAAATCAAAACAATTAAAGTTAAACTTTTGGATTGCTACATATTTATCCAAGGGAACAATGGCAAACAACAATTATGTTAAGCCAAAATTATTAAATTTAAAAATTTCTCCAACCTTGAATAAGACTTAAATGTAGTTATTCAATAAATAATGTAAGAATTATGACAACTTAAGAATAAGATATGCAATAAAAATTTTTTACATTATACTGTAGTACCATACCTCCAAAGCCACAGAAACCAGTCTCCTTGAAGTCTTTGCAGAGATCAGGTTGGTAGTCCCATCTTACTGTTGCTCGTAGGTGATCGGGTGCTCGAATGGGGCCTTTGCGGACTCCCCCACTGGCTGCATTGCCCTGAGCTGTATCTTTCTTCTCATAGAACTGACTGTAGTTATTTAGACCACGGTAGATTTTATCATCCATCTGCCCTCTAGTTTCCTGTTGAGAAAGCACACTCACTATACAAGAGACATAAAGATAGTAATGCAAGATTGATTCTAAAAATCTCTTTTTCGAGCAAAGCCAACTGACAGGTAGCTTTGCATAATACAGGCAGCCAATTGGCTTGGAGTTGAAAACAGAACATAATTTGGACAAATTTAAATCAGCTGGTGAAACTAAAGCCCAAATGGACCAAAATAAGAACCCTTACAAAAGTGACATCTCATCACTGCTTCAGTTTTTAGATCACTTGAAACATATGAGTAAGGAGGAGTAATGATATGAATTGTATCTCAAATATTTTCCCAGCACAGCATAATTGACTTTATAATATTTTAAATATCTTTATTTACTTCAAAGATCATCAATTAACACTAATTACTCAACTTTTTAAATTGTGAACCCAGACACTCATTCAGCATGTAAAGTAGTACCTTTGTATGAAATTTGAAGAAAATCCATTTTATGACCCCCAAGTGCCGAAATGCAAGGTATTAGGTCAGGCGTATTTCTTAATTCAAACATTTTTTGGGGGAAAATGAAAACTAGCGTGTTTATATAGTAAAGATAGTCTATATTTTTATGAAAATTTATATAAAGGTGACTTAAAACTTATGGGCACACTTCTTTAGTCATGGAAAATGTTTCCATTCAACTGAGCACTAATTTGGAAAAGGCAAAATGAACAGTGGGACCAAGTGTTTGCCTAGCAATGCAAGCAAATCCACCATTACAGGAATCAAATCCAAGAAAGCCTGAATCTAGCCTCCACTCAAGAAGTATTACTGAACTGTACTCCTAGATGAGGCATATACCCTGATACTAAGCTCCTCAGTGAAATCCTTAGTAACTATTGCACTAATCCCCCCCCCCAAGTGATGGTATTAGGATGACACCTATGATACACTACTTGTCACAGACAGCTGATGATATTCAAGTAGGGTTGTTTACTGCCCTCAGCCCATATACTACTATCTACATTGGACCCCAACCTAATTGTTAGGGACACTGGTGGTTCAGTGGTAGCACACTTGCCTCTAACCCCTACTTCCCAGGTTGAATATGAGAAGAGTGTGGTCCAGTGTGACCTTACTGAACTTAACAGGTTTTCTTTGGATACTACCTGTATAGTTTCCTTCTGTATTAACACAGGACCCAATCACCAATGACGAATAAACTAATACGGGATTAACAATTGGTGTTACTATAGTGTGCGGTCTTCAAGACATGTAGGTTAGGTCATGTTAGGTCAAGTCAGGTTAGGTAAGGCTAGGTTAGGCTAAAGATATCTTTGTAGACTGCACACTATATTAGCACCAAACAATCAGCTGCCTTCCCCTATCAGAAATGTAAATTAGTAAAGCAATGAAGTCATGAAGGGCAATATGCCATCAAAGTAGGTCTACAGTAATTACTTACTATATCACACTCACCTTATTGACCTCTAGCGTCCTCTCATAAATAGCCTGAGCGTCCCGATCTTTTTCCGTTTCAAATTGGATGGTGGACGTTGCACCCATATCCTTTGGTCCTTCTCGTTCAGTTGTGCGGTGAGACTTGTACGTTGCACTAGAAAGAGGACAAGAAATTATGTGCCTTTGTTCTTTCAACTTAGGTCTTGTATATTTCTCACTAAACAATGTAATATTTTTCTCACGGCTTGAAAAAAAAATTATCTTTAGTTCTTTATACAGACACTCCCCAGGTTAAGGGTTCCTGACTTTATGGATACTCTCCCTTAAGTCCTGTTTACAATGAGTGCACTATCCTGAGTGGTTTATTCAATTAATGACAAAGAAAATACATGAGACTTCCATCTCCCATAAGTTTTAACAGTTGATGGACTAGTGTAATGTTCCTTGTTACACCCTTTAAGACCTTAGTTAATAAAGAGTGGTACAGTAATAACAGTAACAATATTAGCCCCACTCTGTGAATATTATAATTACTGTATGTGAGTTGGTTCACTGATAATTTTGCTCATACCTTAAGGCACTAAGTTCATTCAATCAAATTCTCATTCATCAGTTATTCACTCTGCAAGACCTTACTATATGTTCAAACACACAGAGACGAAGAAATTGCAAATAGAGTGAAAAGTAAGATCACCTGCTGTGCACCAGGTTTATCTTGGAGTGAGTGATGCCTGGATGAACTATATGGGAAAAACAGAAGAGTCAATGTACAGATACTGGTTCACCCTGATCTGCTCCCTTAGTTCTGGGGTCCTGGACTGACAGCTGAGTGAAAGCACATATTCCAGCATATCTTATAAAGGTATTTGTCTGTAAAACTAATGTGGTGCAAACACCTGAAATATCAATATCATGTTTTACCAACCTTAATTCATCGTCACTGTCATCGCCGGAGCTGTGGTCATCTTCACGTACTCGACTTCTGTTCTTACTTCGTTGAACTAAGGGGTTTGAAAGATCTGATTTCCTAACTTTCTTGACTACCTTTGTTTCATCCTCACTACTACCTATGAGATCAAAAGCAAGTGCTGTAATTAGATTGGGTAAAACAAGATGTCCTCTACCAATTATGCACATAAATCAAAATACAGTACTGTACCATACAGTATATGTAATTTAGCCACTAACACTCTCACTTTAATATTGTATTACATTATATAAAGAAACCCAGGTCTTTGTCCAAAACTAGGATCAGTGACAAACTTAAGTAGAGGAACACCTCGGCTAAGGAATGCTTTGGTTACAATACTTCAATAATATTATCAATAAGTCTCCCAGGATCTAACTGGCAATAAGTGCACAATCCCTCAGACAGAAGAACTAGTTTGTCGTGGCCATAATATTAGGCCACTAGGTTGGGTTAGAGAAAGTTTCACCCACCGAGAAACTCACCACTGTAATACAAAATGCTGAATGAAATGGATTCTATTCTCTAAGAATGCAATATCATAGTCAAGCAGCCTGCTGGCTAGGTAGATGTAACATTATGGCCACAGAGCCACTTTGTATTCTAATATATCGATTACTTCTATTTGCACAATTTGTTTGAATTAATACATATATTCATTCATTAATATCATCACACATGTTCACACTGGCTCAGCAAATACCGTATATAGACATAAGTATTACAAGTGATAACCGTGGTAACATTATGAGATGTTCTTATTACCACCATGCTATTGTACTATTCCAGATGATACTAAATGTTACATAATACTTCCTTGAGATAAATGTATAGTATATATCAGGTGCCTCAAAAAGAGCTCAGGTTCTCAACTGGCTCAGCCATGTTAATATTGTTATTATTGTCCACTCTGTATCTGTGTTTTTCTGGTTAAGTAAACTGTTTCAATTCAATTCAGGTATACAAAAAACGTGGTTAATATGTAGGACTAACCCGCCAGGGCTGCAGTATCATCTTAGGTCCAGAAAATGCCCCAAATTTCACCATATTATAGTAAGTTCTTTCTGTTTAATATACCGGGGAAGTTAGTTAAGTTTAGGTAGGTAGGTTTGGTTGGTTAGGTCTGCTCTTCATAACCACAAATATTAAGTAGCGTTTATTTTAAAAATATCTGTTTTTTAACATATTTCCACAACCTACAACAGTGTCCACTATAATATAACAATGAAAATCCGGCTTTTTTATAATTGGTTTTCATCAATTTCGCCCGCGGGTTGGTCCTATACAATTACCAAAATACATTTAACTGACCAACAATACCAAATTATGCTATACAGTGACAGCTGAAACACTCTAATAGGGTCAGTCAAGCTTTAACCCAGGTTATTCCTCAGCAGGTACAGGACTGTGTGTCAAGTCCTCATATTCTTACTGTTATCACTCCCAACTTTTCTTTTCCGTAGGCTTCCACCAGGCCTATTGGTTCGTTTCTTAAAGATGAACTTTGCTGAAGGTTCTGCCATCGTTACAGTATTATATTATTAAGTTGTCGCCGCTGCTGCCCACACCCACACCACCCTCCAGCCTCCAGTGTGAGAAGTACTCGAGAATATTCTTGAATAGTTTTTCTCTTTATGATTATACAGTTTATATATTACATTGGCTTAGCATCTAAATTTAGTTATACGTTACATTAGAGCATAAATATAATATTGTTTGCCTTACATTAATAAGCTACGGTATTCATTAATTGCATAACCATCGTACATCTTCCATAACAAGACGCATCACAACAAACAGGGAAGATGTTGTCCACATATGACTGTTGTGTTACATGCAACATAATATATGATAATAACCTTGTATTTGGTTTTGAAAAAAATACTTTTAGCTTTACGTGAATATAAATTTTAATTTATAAATTACCTTTTCATAATATTATCCAATATAAATAGTTTTTCCTAGGACGATTTTTTTATTTACCTCATTTATGAAATGGACTGTCTTTATTGTGAGGGTAGAAAACATAATGAAATTATATTAAACAATACATCCATATAAAATTAATTATTGTGAGAGGTTCTCTTTATTTTATCCTCCCTCTGCACCACTGGAAGGGCAAACTGAAACAACCTGCCAGAGAGTGTTGTGAGTGTGAGCTCTCAAGACACAACTTGTCCAACACGAGAAAATGTTTGCATGAGTGAAAACATTTAAATGCAGTAAATAGATATACACAATATAAACAATGAATCATCTGATGATTAAAATCCAAGTTTATTTTACCTGAATAATAACCTTACCTAAATCTAACCTATCCTATCCTAACCCCCAGGTAGCGTTAGTTTGGTCAATCTTCAGGTGAAATAAGCTAGGGTGTAATCACCAGGGTGATCCAAAACAACAGTAAAATAGACAATAATTATGGATGGAATATGGGAAATAAAAATGTGAATCATTCTTTGACCTAACTCTCAAAATTATAGATTCTCTTAAAAATTCTTAGATTTCATAGTAAATATCATTAAATATCATATTTTGACTACACGGATAAATCAATACTTCAATGATGTATGAGAGTGTAGTTACCTTGGACTTGTTAAGGTAGGTGTAGGGTGTAGTTAAAGCAGGTATTTTTGTTATGGAAGTGACGGTTGGTGAAAGCTATGTAATCTTATCGCCTTATCAACGAACGATATTACGCTATCTTCTAAGCTCTTGGTGTTCTCTTTACCCCTGATCTATGGCGCTGCCCACAAACTCCTAACATACTCACGATGGCAAGTTACAACACGCAATCCGCTTTGTATCGCCACATGCAATTATATAGTAACTCACAGCCCATTATGTATAAACTCACAAACCGCTTTATAGCAATTCACAATCCGCTATGATTATACAAAAACATTAAGTCCGAATTTACAAGAGGTTCTTCCTGCAATAGCTCCTGAAATTGGCCCTGAAACAAAGAACTGTGGCCAGAATGTCATCAAAACCGTAAGAGACAAACCGTCGTTGGATAAGGACATTTCTTCATCATAGTTACCGGTGTCAAGCTAGTGGGCATTTTTTATCAGTCAAACAAGATCCCAGATAGGAGCCAGTGAGGGATTTTACTACGCCTTACGCTCATATCGCTTTTGTCTGTAAGCAAATCAATTATCGATGTATGGAGAAAATCGTAGGACGTCTGTAACACGACAATTCCCTTAAAGATAATAACTTTCCTACATGTAATTATTTCCGTAAATAAAATAACTTAAATATTACTATCGTTTCAATGAAATAGTTACTCGGGTTTGCATTCTAACTGTGGGCATTTCATAAGACTTTCAAGTGTACGGTCAGGACCTTGCATGGATCCAGAGAATTTGTGTACTGTAACTTTTGATCTTCCTGAAGTTTATCTAAGATTTCTTAGTAAACTGACTGTTAGTATAAGAACGCCTATAACATCAATAGCATCTATATACTGCCTAATTTAATTGATTATAGTTACGTCAGTTTGGGTAAGGGCATTATAGCAATGTTCAGACAATTAAAAACACTTGGAGGAAGTGTGTAATGTGTGGGTTGAAACACGGATGTGGTGGTGGGTTTGTCATGCAGGTGATAACGCTGATAACCAAGTCTGGTAACTGCTGATTAGACACACCTGGACTAGTTGTGGGCACGACCTGCTGAAGGAGTGTATGTGAGTGTTGTGTTAGAGTCACGAGCGTCGAATTATTGAAGTGGTAAGTGTTTTACTGAGTATACGAATACATTCAAGGGGTATGCAGGAGGCAGCCGCGCCCCGCCGCTACTGCAAGATACTGTTGGTGGTTCCCGGAGTCTTGGAGAAGCGACCTGTTGTCGGCACCACCAAGCGACGCACAACATGGCGTCACGAGTTTGTCCCCCAAGCTTGAGGACACTTGCCGTCTGCTGAGTCTACTTCCCAGTTATTTCAAGAATAATTTCAGCAGTGTACACCATCGTCAAGTTGGCCTCAGTAGTATACTGTACAGACGAGGATGTTATGGATGAGTCAATTACGTATTTAAAGACAGAATCTGATGAGTAGCCTAGCAGTAAACTTTCCATTATACATTGTTTTTGTGCATTCAAGTGCGTCATCAGTCAATAACGGGATATGTAAGAAGTGTACCGAGAATACAAACTACAACACATTTATGTTGCAATATATTACAAGATACAGTGCGCGCTCATGGTGATACATTGCGGAGTATGGAAGCCTTGTATGTGGAAGTATTGAAGTGGGTTTCATCGATATATTTTATACTAAGGTAAACACTGTAAACACTCAGCAGCTGCACCCCTTGGTGGTATCTGGTGTAATAACGTTATGTTATAGTTTCATGCAGGGATACCCGAGGACCTTTTGGTGATAACTGTATATTACTGTACTGTATATCTTCAGGATATTATGAAACGCTCCCGGTAGTAGTTCATGGTGTGTATATCTTGCTGACCTCCACATCATTAACATTTTGTGTGAACACTACTTTGTCAGAGGCGATGGCACACGGAAGTTCCATGTGTAACGTAGATATTAAATGTAAAGGAAGAAATTTTGTAAACCCCAGCACGACACAAAGGTATTTTGGTGAGATCTCATACTTTGACTCGTTGTTCTCGACCTACTAGTGGGGCAATACCGTTCCCAAGCTGCAACCTTAGCATATGCGACAAGTAACTTAAGATGGTGTAGATGTGTATTGGTTGGGGGTGACAAGGACAGTAACCTACCATCAACTGAAGCTTCTGAGCTAAAATCTCTAGACAATAATCACAACGTGTGTGTGTGTGTGTGTGTGTTAGACAAGGATGAGGTAAGGAACATTAGCTGTCTCAGCACTCAGGGAGGGGCGCTATCATTACTAAGCCAAGGTGTACAGACTAACAAAGGAATATGAATGTTAATTAACCTATATACTCTAAGATGATTATACGCGATTTAACCCATTATCTTTTGTTTCGTTTCAGACTAGAGAAGGAGGATGGGGTACGACTTGTCTGAGGCCCCGGTGAGTACCACGAGCCTTTCTATAGGGCAGTGATTTCACTTTACCGATACTCTACTGCCCTCAGTCTCTGTTTCTTCCAGGACATAACCTGAGCTCCTCATTACCAAGGCTTTTACGATCATGATACAATATTAACATAATGTCATAACATAGTAATAATAAACGTGTAAGGTATTCAAAACTTAATTTTCAGCAAGTAATGATGACGAGGTTTACTGCACACCCCTCACCCCAGCAGGCCATTGTCTCACTCTCATTACTTCCACTGCACTGAGGCTCCAGGGCCGCGTTGTCGCCTTTATTCATTTACGACGACAATTAACGATGTATACTAAACAAATAGTTTAGAAAAGGCTGGGTTAGATGTGGATATAAATATAGAAGTCTTTCGTTCCAGCATTTATTCACACGACATACAGACTCCAGGAGGCCTGAGCCAATTAGCACCAAGGTTCTTACGTGCTAATCATTGTCTATGTCCAATAAACTTCAAGGGTTTGTGTTTCTCGTCAAAGGAAGTTAGACTTTAAGTGCATAGTAAGATTCGCGACCTCAGTAAACTCTTTTCACGGCCATAATGGAGAAACACTGGCAAACGACCTACATGTACTATATGAGCGAGTGTTTTCCACCATTCATTACTCTCCTCCGTGGCTAAAGTCATAGTTTTGCCACTAACCTGACAACACACCTCCGAGCTTCTGTTGTTCTCACGAAGGAATGAAGTAATTATTTGTCGTACGATGCAACCGTTCCCTTGAGGTGTGGCGCCCCAAGGTAAAGTGTGGAGCCCCCAAGGTAAGGTGTGGCGCCCCCTAGTTAAGGTGTGGCGCCCCCAAGTTAAGGTGTGGCGCCCCCAAGGTAAGGTGTGGCGCCCCCTAGTTAAGGTGTGGCGCCCCCAAGGTAAGGTGTGGCGCCCCCTAGTTAAGGTGTGGCGCCCCCAAGGTAAGGTGTGGCGCCCCCAAGGTAAGGTGTGGCGCCCTCCTACCCTCGGTGAAGTGTGGGATCCCTCGAATTAAGCCTCTTGCGAATGAACATTATTACGGTCAATGTTGTTTGTTGTCTGAGTAACTTATCTAGCATTTCTGCCCTCCCCCACACACACCACTACACACTCCCACACACACCACTACACACTCCCACACACACCACTACACACTCCCACACAACAAAAAAGTGACACTCCTTCATAAAACACACACACAAAACACACAGATACGGGTGCTGTACGTTCGCTAATCATCATGGCGTTCTTCAAGGGACAAGACAGGCGCTTTCTTTAAACTAAGTCTTATCTGACGATGATGTATGTGGCCTCAGGGGCAGCAACTGCATAAGAAACGTAAACTGGTTGTGTGTTCATTCACCAACAAATTGTCGTATGCGTTCCAGTTTAAATCAAGTGGTAAGGTGGTAACCTCTTTCACTCTACTACCACCCCCTCCTTTTTGCCTCTCCTCCTCTCTATTTTCCTTCCTCCCTCCTCATTCCCTCTACATTTTCCTTCCTCCTTCCTCATTCCCTCTACATTTTCCTTCTTCCCTCTCCATCCCCCCTTTTATTTCCACCCCTCCT